TCTTGCTGAATTCTTTACCTGTGGTTATTCTCTTTGATTCCGGTGCATCCCTTTTTTCATATTGAGTAGATGTGCTAAGAAGCTAGAATTAGATTCTCGAGTAGAGGTTTCGGTAGAGATTAGGCTACATTTAGGAGAGCTAGTGCCTCGTAATTTTCTTTTTGTAAGAGTACCTGTCATGATCGGAAACATAGAATTTCCTACTAATCTTTTGAAACTTAAATTGGCGGAGTTTTTTGAGGTAGCTCCGGGCGTGCAGACCGATTTCAAGGATAAAATGTCCTAAGTGGGAGGATGTAATACCCTATAAAATAATTGCAGGAAGTTCGCCGGAGCTTGCCGGGGTCCGATGCTGGAGTTGGACAATATTATTTGGGGCTTAAGTTGTTTGGGCTTTTGGTGTGATAAATATTATAATTTGATTAAAATTAAGGGTGTTAGGGTGTTTGAGCCAAAGTTGGGCCCAAAAGGGATAAAAAAAAATTAATTAGGTATAGGCTCATGTCTATTTTATTTAAAATAGAGGAATTGAGAGATTGAGAGCGCGCCTGCCAGCTACCACCAGCTATCTTCCCCTTCTTCCTTGGGGGTTTTTCTTTCTCAAAACTCTTCTCCTCTTGGATTTGTCTCTTAAGGTAAGTGGATTAATCTTAGATAAATGATATATTCTAATCCCTAAACCTCTTTTGTTGATATTTTTCAAAATTATTTTCAAATGAATCTGCCCTAAAAGTGTTAAGTTTTGATAATTTCTTCAAGAGAGTTGATTATAACGTCTCCTAGGGCTTATGTGAAAATTATTATAGTATTTTAAGTTGACAATCGTAGAATTTGTAGAATGAGTTTGAAACCCTAGTTTTGCCCTAACCTAGTTATGGTTTTTTGGGAAACAAATTATGATTATGTTTAAATATTATGACTTTGGGAGTCAGATTATGCCTATTGGAATGGACATATTATTCAAATGTTTATACGGCGAAATAAAGTGAGATTATAACGAACTTGTTGCGTTTTAATATCCTACTTTTTTCTTGGTTAAATGTTGGTAATTGAAATGGTTTGAGTTTAAAGCTCTCTTTTAAATTTGCCTAATAGCATGTTGAGTATTGGGTCAAATTGGTAATTGAAACTACCCGTCGAGTCCGATCAACTCGTCGATTGTTTGAATGATAAGGCATAGCCTTCCACCTCTGATCCTTGCAAATACGTGAGGGTATACCGGTATTTTAAGATAACTAGCTAACCTTGAACTAGAACCCGAATGGGATAGGTCGAGGGATCGAGATGGCGAGTTCCCTTTTGGGTGATTCCGAGGTACCCGTCATTCACGATGAAAAGGTCTTTAGACCCTCATTCGTGATGGAGGGATGGATTGTGCACAATCCTCTCTTGGTATGTTATATTAGAGACTAGAGGGTTGTGGGCTGTTTGGCGCCCCTCGCAAACTAATAAACAAATTGACTTACGTGTACTTTGGGCTTCGAACCCTTAGGTACATATTGTGGAGCTTTTCTTGAGGGTTGTGACCGTATGTTTGTTATGTGAAATTATATGACGTGTCATACGAAATAATATAGTTGGAAAATCGGGTCGAGCCGGCCCTAATGAAGGCATAGTCGAGTTTTCTTCGTGATGTGTTCATCACAATTACTTAAGAATAAAAGGAAGGCATAAGGGAGGCGCTAAAAGCTAAGACTTATGTATGTGAGTTATCCTTATGTGATATATGACATTTTATTTAAATTATCTTCTTCAAATGATTTTGTGGCATTTAGACATGAATCATTACTTATATTGTAATACCCCATAAAATAATCGCCGGAAGTTCGCCGGGGTCCGACGCCGGAGTCGGACAATATTATTTTGGGCCTAATTTATTTTGGGTTTTTTGTGTAAAAAATTAAGGAATTGGGTTTTAAATTATGAGTAAAAATTGAGTGTGGGCCCAAGTAGGGTAAAAGTCTTTTATGTTTAATAAAATATAAAATAAAATAAAATAAAAAAGAGAGAGAAGCAGCATGCAGACACGCCTAACACGCCGCCAACCCCCCTCTTCTTCCTTGTAATTCTTCTTCTCCAAAACTCTTCCTTTTGGTCTCTTCCCTTAAAGTAAGCGGGATTAATCTTACATAGATGATATGTTCTCATCCCTAGACCACTTCTATTGATATTTTTTTTAATAATTTCAAATGGATTTGCCCTAAAAGTGTTAGGTTTTGTCAATTCTTCTAGAAAGTTGATTATAATGTCTCATGGGACTTATGTGAATATTATTATAATATTTTAAAGTGAAAATCGTAGAATTTGTGGAATGAGTTTGAAACCCTAGTTTTGCCCTAACCTAGTTATGATTTTTTTTTTTGGGAAATGATTTATGCCTATTGGGATGGACATATTATTCGAATGTTTGTTTGGCGAAATAAAGCGAAATTATAATGAACTTGCTGGATTTTAATATTCCACTTTTTGGTGGGTTAAATATTGACAATTAGAATGTTTTGAGTTTAAAGCTCTCTTTTTTCAAATTTGCCTAATAGCATGTTGAGTATTGAGTCAAATTGGTAATTAATACTACCCGTCGAGTCCGATCAACTCGTCGATTGTTTGGATGATAAGGCATAGCCTTCCACCTCTGTGTCTTGCAAACACGTGAGGGTATACTATTATTTTAGAATAACTAGCTAACCTCGAACTAGAACCCGAATGGGCTAGGTCAAGGGATCGAGATGGCGGGTTCCCTTTTCGGGTGATTCCGAGGTGCCCGTCATTCACGATGAAAAAGGTCTTTGGATGGTCATCCGTGATGGAGGGTTGGATTGCGTACAATCCCCTCTTGGTATGTATTATTGGAGACTAGAGAGTTGTGGGCCATTTGGCGCCCCTCGCAAACTAATAATAAATTGATTTACGTGTACTTTGGCTTTCGAACCCTTATGTACATATTGTGGAGTTTTCCTTGAGGGTTTGCTTGTTATGTGTGATTATGTGACGTGTCATACGAAGTAATAAAGTTGGAAAACCGGGTCGAGCCGGCCTTGATTAAGGCATAGTGGAGTGTTCTTCGTGATGTGTTCATCACTATTATTTGAGAATAAAAAAGAGATAAGGGAGGCGTCAAAAGACTCGTGTGTGTGAGTTACCCTTATGTGATATGTGTCATCTTATTCAAATTACTTTTTTCAAATGATTTTGTGACATTATGTCGTATTAATTTATCTTCGATTAATTGCGCTTACTCAACCGTTGTGTTGACCCTCTTTCTACAAACCTTTTTGTAGGTGATGATGGTTCTGTTATACCTAAATGATGCATCCACGTCATATAATCCATCGGGGAAACTATAACTACTTTAACTTCTAAAATGCTTTTGAAATTCCTTAAATATGTTTAAAGACTAAAGCCTTTTGAACTATTTCCAATTTATGTTTTTGACTCGAACTTTACTTATTTAATTGATAAGCTGGTGCGCTTTAATTCTAAATCTCTAAGTAGTTGTTTTGTAATGGTTATTTTAGCCTTAGCGCCACAACGTAGGACTCGTTGGTTGATGAACAAACCTTCCGGTGTGGCGTGGCGGTAACACTCCGGTTTGAGCCGGCCGGGGTGTTACATATACCGTATTAATTTATCTTCGATTAATTGCGCTTACTCAACCGTCGTGTTGACCCTCTTTCTACAAATCCTTTTGTAGGTAATGGTGTTTCCGTTATACCTAAATAATACATCCACGTCGTATGATCCATCGGGGGAACTAGAACTACATTATCTTCTAGAATGCTTTTGAAAATCCATTATTAATGTTTAAAAATTAATGCCTTTTGAATTATTTTTCGACTTATGCTTTTAACTCGAACTTTATTTATCTAAATGATTAGCCAGTGCGCTTTAATTTTAAATCTCTAATTAGTTGCTTATAATGGTTATTTTAGTCTTAGCGCCACAACGTAGAGCTCGTTGGTTAATGAATGAGTCTTCCGGTGTGGCATAACGGTGGCACTCCGGTTTGAGCCGACGGGCTGTTACATGGCCGTTTGCCATCCATCGCAAACTAATAAATAAGTTAACTTATGTATACTTTGGGCTTCCCTTATGTACCGATTGTAGAGTTTTCTTTGAGGATTGTGACCTTATATTTGTTATGTGTAATCATGTGATGTGTCAAACGAAGTGATAAGGTTAGAAAAATTTGTCAAGCCGAACCTAATTAAGGCATAGTGGAGTTTTTTCTTTGAGATGTATTTTTCACAATTAATTGAGAATTTAAAAAAAAAAAAAAAAAACAGAGAGATATAAAAGACTTGTGTGTGAGAGTTGTCTTTTTGTGATATGTGACATTTTATTCAAATTGTTTTTCTTCAAATGATTTTATGGTAGTTACTCGTAAATCATGACATATATCATATTGATTTACCTTTGATTAATTGTGCTTACTCAACCGTCGTGTTGACGCTTTTTCTACAAATTTTTTTTTGTAGGTTATAGGTACTTCTGTTATGCCTAAACGATGCATTCACGTCACATGATCCATCAGGAGGAATTAGAACGGTCTATCTTATAGAATGCTTTCTTTTGAACTAATTTTCAACTTATGCTTTTGACTCAGACCTTACTTACTTTAAATAATAAGCCGAAGCCGGTGTTCTTTAGTGTTAAATTCTATTTTCTTGCTTGTGTTGGGTATTTTTTTAGCCTTACCTCCGCAATGTATGCCTTGTTGGTTGATGAATAAGTCTTCCAGTGTGGCGTGACAGTGATACTCCGGCTTGAGCCGATCGTAGTGTTACAATTATTATTTAGATATATCTACTAAATTAAGTTGTTATTATTTGATTTATAAGGTCTATTTTAATTTCATTATTAATACACATCTCAGAAATTCCTCTCAATGTAACAAAAGTAAACAGACCTGCCATGGGTTGCACAAAACAGTCAATAGAAGAATCGAACAGTCTACACAAGCATGTATCAGTAGAACATAATTGTGAAGAAAGAAGAGAATTACTCAAATTTGAACTATAAACAACAAACTCAAAACAGTCATGCAATCAAATTCTAATTTATTTTTTGAAATAAATCAACGGTTCATTTACCACAAGAAGTCATTCATTTAGAACTCATGAATCATCATCACCAATAGTCATTGCACGAACACCTCCCAGAATCAAAGCAATGAAATCTACTTGAATCGCGTACTAATATTTTCCTCCCATATATGCTTGAAATGAATTTAATGGCAGAGTGACAGTCACCGCAAGTTCGCAGATTCTTGAAAATTTTAATTGGAGTCCCTGCTGGAGTGCTGATTATCCCGAATGCCACAGCAAGTTTTTCACTGTGGTAAGAGAGGCTTTGCTCTTTCTGCTCTTCTTCTACATCGTGCAGAACATAAGTTGTGTGAGGAACATACCCTTCTTCTTTCATTCTCTTTGAAACTTCCTCCAAGAAGTTGAATATTTCCTTTGATCTCGGATGGGATTGGTCTCCAACTACAAAACTGTGGACCTCCCTCTGCACATCAATCCAGCTCATACCAGGCTTCTTCACCACTTGCCTCTCATCCATTAATTTTCTAACCTTCTCCAGTTCACTCCACTTGCCTGCAACAGCATAAATATTCGCAAGTGTAACATATGTAGCTGCATTCTCTGGCTCAATTAGCAGCAAGGCTTCGCCTGCCTGCTCTGCAAGTTCATGATTCCCATGAATCCGGCACCCACCAAGTAAAGAAGCCCACACAAACTTGTCAGGTTTCATAGGCATTGTGTTTATCATATCTTCAGCTTCTTTGAACCTGCCTGCACGACTCAAAAGATCCACCACACAAGCATAATGATCCACTGTGTGGTTCAATCCGTGCTCCTCAGTTATTGAGTAGAAGTATTTTAGACCTTTATCAACTAAACCAGCATGTGTGCAAGCTGATAGAACACCAACAAATGTAATGTGATCGGGCCGCTTACCAGATATAAGCAACAGATCGAACAACTCCAGAGCTTCATGAGGCTGACCACTCTGAGCATACCCATTGATTAAAGTAGTCCAAGAAACTAAATCAGGCTCAGGCAGCAGTGTAAATACTTTATGTGCACAGTCCACGCTACCACACTTGGTGTACATGTGAATTAGTGCACTAGCAGCAAAAGAGAATGGATCGAATCCAATCCGCATCATGTGGCCATGAACCTGTCTGCCAAGCGCCTCTGCAGCACGATTTGCACATGCATTTAGAATGCCAGCAAATGTATACTCATTCGGCCTAATTCCTGACCTCAAGAAATCAAAGAGTAACGAGAGACCTTCTTCCCACCTCCCATCACCAAAATACCGATCCATCATTGCTGTCCATGAAACAATGTCCTTACCCACTGTTCTATCAAAAATACACCTCGCCTCAGTCACACTCCCACATTTTCCATAAACGTCTAATAAAGCACTCCACAACACCGTATCAGAATCCAACCCAGTCCTCATTATATGCCCATGAATCTCCTTTCCAAGTCGTAGAGACTGGATGGCTGCAGAGGCTGCAAGAGCACTAGATATAGTGAACTTGTTTACGAATTTAGCACCTCTCTGCATCGATCTGAACAATTCCAATGCATTTTCAGGTTCTTTATTGTTTACATAACCCGAAATCATAGCCGTCCAGGAAAAATTATCTTTTTGAGGCATTTTGTCAAACAGATTGCGAGCATCCGATAAGCTACCCTTATGGGCATAACCTGATATCAAAATATTCCATGAACAACCATCCCTTTCACGCATTTCATCAAACACTTTCTGCGCATCGAAGATACTCCCACACTTGCAGTACAACTGGAGGATCTTATTCGAAATAAAAATCCCCGGCACAAAACCCGAATCCCTAATGCGAGTGTGAACTCTTTTGCCCTCATCTAGTGCTCTCTTCTCAATACAAAGCTGAAGAATAGGCGCATACAAAGTTGCAGAGGCTTGGTGGACCTCGCTTTCGAGCAACCGAAGGACATCATTCAAACGCTTTTGTTGGCAAAGATGATCGATTGTCTGTTCAAATTTGTTGGCTCCGCCAAGCCTACTAACTACTTGACCAGCATTTCTCGATGATCTGAAAATCGGCACTCGAGGATTCGGCGCTTGATTGAAACGAGCCTGCGAAGAAAAGGAAGAAGCAAAAAGGTCTGAGCCAAGAACAGGAGCTTTAAATAATACTCGCAACAATTGCTTTGGTTTCATTGTTATCTTTCTGCAGCAGAAACTGTCATTCGACTTCTCCCGAATGAAGCAGCCAACTCAGATCTCATACAAACAGGAAGGGTCTGTTTGGTTATTGTCTGTCTTCTGGACCAAAACCCCCATCTAATTCCCCCTCCTCTTCACTTACACCCACTTACTCGCTAGGGCAAGGGAAGCTGTCGAAGGCGGTCGCCGTTTGGAGCAGGAGAGACGTTGTTCTCAGGCTGAGGTCGTCGTCCCTCTTCCGAGTCGTTCTCGCGAGGAAACGGAGACGAAGACGAAGTTGGCGGGAAGCAAGGACAAGTAGAAACGTAATGGAAAATGACAAAAATAAAAATAAAAATAAAAAGCAGAGGGAGAAGACGGGAAAGAGAAAGGGGGAGGCGGCGCAATGATGAAGATTAGGGTATTAAAACTAAAAGAATACTGTCTCCGTTCCAACTAAGGTGCACGAGAGTTTAGGTGAAAAATATTAAGTAGAATAATTGCGTAATTAAATGATGTGATGAAGAGAGAAGTATATATTTTAATTTTTTATTAGGGTGATACGATGAGATAAAGTGTGGAGACATAGATTAAGTATAATTAATTATTTTTTAATTTAGAAATATTGCAGCGTGTTTGACACATACCAAAAAGAAAATGTTGCATGGTGTTTGGAACGGAGGGAGTACTACACAACTCTCGCCAAAGCGACATAATGGTTAGGGTGTTAAATTTGAAAAATTAAAATCATAATTTGATTTCAAATTAGCATCGACAATATATACAAATAGCATACAGTCTTGTAATAAAATTACATGTTGGTTTATAAGTATAAGTGTGTTATATAATAGTATGTGATATGATGAACTTATTTATTATTTATATTGTATAAGATTATAGCATATGTTATTAAGTCATGTATTTGTGTTGTTGATTTATAATTGCTAGTGTATTGTAGTACAATATGTAGTGTGCTGAAATTAACTATTATTTATGTTGTATAAAACTGTAAAATGTGTAGTTAGTTCATTTGATGTATTTGTATTATATGAATACGTGTGTAGAAAACAATTGAACCAAATAGTTTCAGAGAAAGAAAATGTTTTTCTATGTATTATTTCTCGAAAAGTCTATATATTGGTGTACATAAGCTGGGGAAATGAAACAAAAACAAAAAAAACAAAAACAAAAACTCTAAAAACAAGCAACTTCAAATGGATAAACTTTGACTGAGTTTACTTTCAATTATTTAATTAAACAATTCGTAACTTTGGGAGCAGTCTGCTCAACACTCCCCTTACTCCAAAGTTGCAAACCCTCAGTTTGTTTCGGATTTTTTCAAACCTAGCTTGAGGGAGCGCTTTTGTAAACACATCTGCCAACTACTTCTTTGATCTGCAAACTTCTATTTGATTTCTTCTCTAGCAACTAAGTCTTATATAAAATGATGCTTAATATCTATATGTTTTGTTCTTCCATGATTGATTGGATTCTTTGTCATAAATATTGCTAACTCATTATCACAAAATACTTAAGTTGCTTTTGGTTGATGTTGCCTCAAATCATGCAGTAGTTTGCGCAGCCCCTGCGGTAGATATAGCAATTGTGGGTTGCTTCTTCGATGACCATCCAATGACAGTTGATCCAAGCATAAAACAATTTTCAGTTGTATTTTTTCGGTCGTCAAGCAACCTAGCCCAGTCACTATCTGTATATGCCTTTAGCACAAGGTTTTCTCCTTTGTGATACCATATGTCTAGCTCCTTCGTGCCCGCAATATATCGCAAGATTCTTTTCGCAATTCCGAAATGATGCTTGGTAAGACAGTGCATGAACTGTGATATGACTCCAACTGCAAAGCTGATGTTCGGATGAGAGTGCGTGAGGTAGACGAGTTTCCCAACTAAGCTTCTGTACTCTTGACCATCAGCCATTCCAGTTTCATCTTTTGTTGTCAGATTCTCATTTGTATTCATAGGAGTAGCTTCTAATTTGCATTGTTCCATGTCAAATTGACTTGACAAATCTGTTGCATACTTCTGTTGTGATAAAAATATACCTCATTCATTTTGACGGATTTCGAAGCCAAGAAAATAATTGAGATTTCCAAGTTCGGTCATCTCGAAGGCACTCATCCTAGCTACCTTGAACTCTGAAATGAGTTACGTTGATGAACCTGTGTAAATCATGTCATTGATGTACAAACTCACCATCATAATATCTTTTTCACCATGCCTTTTAAGATATTATGTTAGTTCACTTGCACTTCGTTCAAAACCATTTTTCTGGAAAAATCATCTATTCTCTTATACCATGCTCGTGGAGCTTGTCATAAGCCATATAACGCCTTCTTCAACTTATAGAATTTATGCTCTTCACATGATATCTTAAACCCTTCTCGTTGTAGAACATACACTTCTTCCCAAAACAACCTTCAGATGTCCAGGGGCATTAGAGATATACGAGTGGACAGTCATGCCTTTTGGATTGAAAAATGCGAGGGCAAAATACCAACGGGTGATGAATGCTATTTTCCACAATCTCAGTGGTGAATCTATGGAAATCTATATTGATGACGTGATCGTTAAGTTGGCCGATGTCGAAAGCCATTTGGAAGATTTAAAGGCAGCTTTTCAGGGAATGAAGAGATATAACTTGAAGATGAACCCGACGAAATGCTCTTTCGGAGCGTTAGCAGGAAACTTCTTGGATTTTCTAGTATATGAAAGAGGCATTGAGACTGATGCAAACAAGGCCAAGACACTTTAAGAAATATAGCCCCCCAGGTCGGTCAAGGAGGTTCAAAATTTACTAGGCAAGGTAAATTATTTAAAGATATTTATTACTAATGCTGCAGGGAAAATAAAGCCTATTACGAAATTACTACGGGCAAAGACCCTTGAAATCGTTTGGGAAACTAAACAACAAGAAGCCTTGAAAGCCATCAAGACGACTTTTGCTGAACCACCAATCCTGATGCCTCAACGGGGCGACCAACCTCTCAGGTTATATTTATCAAATACTCATAAGGTGGTGAGTTGTTTGTTGGCACATGATTGAGAAGATAAAAAGGAGAGGGCGATTTATTACTTGAGTAAGACTCTAGCGGGCCTGAGTTGAATTATACCATGCCCGAGAAGATGTGTTACTCACTGGTGTTCGCCTGCAGTAAATTGGAGCATTATTACTCCCCAAAGAGGTTGAGGTCGTTTCCAAGGTAGATTTGATCAAGTTGATTTTGTAGAGACCAACTATGCAGAGAAGTTATGGACAATCAAGTTAGCTCCATTTTCATTAACATACAAGTCGTTAAAGGGGAACAACAAGAAAATACGGGGCTCGTACCATATGTGAATACTCGGACTTGGCATATGTTTTTTGATGGATCAAGTTCGGGGGAAAGATCGGGAGCAGGTATAGTTCTGAAAGGGCCCGACACCAAAAGGTTAAATTGTAATTGCAGTTGGAAGCAATGACTCATAATTCGGTTGAATATGAAGTTTTGATTCTGGGACTTAAGGCTTTGGTTGAAAAAAAGGTCTAGTCGGTTGTGATTCAAGGGGATTCGGTATTGGTGATCAATCAAGTAACAAGACATTATGCGTGCAATGTCCCTCATTTACTACAATATAGAGCTTTAGTGTTTCGATTGTTGTCAAGAATTTCAGAAGTCAATTTTGAACATATCTCGAGGACAGAAAATTGTCATGCAGATGACTTGGCTCAAGGTGCTTGTAGGCAGGTGATAAGTGCGGTTGTTTGTAACACGGGTGTGGAAGTCCTGACCGATTGAAGGGAAAATATCATTGCATATCTAAAAGAGCCTAATTCGGTTGCACTCGTAGGTGTTCGGTTGAAGGCATTACGATTTCAACTCATTGAAGGAATCCTATACAAGAGGAGTTCGAAGGTTTGTTATTGAGATGTTTGGAGCTAGGGGAGTCACTGGAAGTGATGCAGGAAGTTCATAGTGAGACGTGCGGGACCCATCGAGCGGGATTAAATATGAAGTGGGCTATTCATCTCTTGTGATTCTTTTGGCCGAAAATATTTGAGGATTGCATTAAGTTCGCCAAAGGATGTCAAGGATGTCAAAGAAATGGACCATTGAATCATATGCCGGCTATGGACCTCCAGACTTTGGTCAAATCATGGTCATTCAAAGCCTGAACAATGGATTTTATTGGTAAAATCCATCCGACTTCTTCGAAGCATCACAGTTTCATTCTAGTCGCGAAAGATTATTTCACCAAGTGGGTCGAGGCTATTCCTTTGAAGAATGCAACAGAAAAAGAGGTAACTGAATTTGTTTTAAATCAAATTATTTACTGATTTGGGGTTCCGCACACTATTATCACATATCAGGGTTTGGCTTTTACTGGGGAGAAGTTCGTCGAATTTCTGGCCGATTTTAATATTCGGTTGCATCATTCATCTCCCTATTATCCACAAGCTAACGGTCAGGCAGAAGCGGCAAATAAGATTACCATTGTTATCATAAAGAAGATGATTGGCGAAAATCCAAGAAAATGGTATACGCTGTTGCCTCAGGCTCTCTGGGCACATCGTAATGGCAGAAGTTCAGCCACGGAGTTTTCGCCATATCAGCTCACATTTGGACAAGATGCAGTGTTACCAGCCGAGCTTCATGTACCATCGATTCGTACTGCTAACACCACGTTGTATTTTGACAAAGAATGTCAGCAAGGTATGATGCAGCAGTTGGAGGATCTGGATGTTATTCGTTTGAAGGCGATTGATCGGATGGTCTAATATGGCGAGATGCATGCCAAACATTATGATAAAAGAACTCTTTACAAGACTTTTAAGGAAGACGATTTGATTTGGAAAACTATTTTGCCAACCTACAAAAAGGTAGACCAATTGGAGAAATGGTCCCCCAATTGAGAAAGACCTTACGTAGTTTACCAAGAAATTGGAAACAGGGCATTCATTATTATGGACTAGGAAAGGAAAGTGGTACATGATAACATTAATGCAAAGTATTTGAAAATATATTATCCCGCCTTTTAAGGTCACAATGAATAGTTATCCAGTAAAATTATTTTGAATCCATCTAGGGTTCAAACCCTTTGAAGGGTTTATTCGTCGTCTGAGAGGGTGATGCAAGGATGTTCATCTTTCTCCGATTCAGAATCCTCATCCCAGCTAGTGGAAATTCATTCTGGTTCCTCATCGAGAAGGTCTTCAAGGTCATGTTGGTATTGCTCCCAATGTTCCTCCATTTCTTCCAGGTCTTGTTCCAGTACGAGTTATCATGTCTTATAAAGATTGGTGTTCCCGATCCACCAGAACACATAGTCGTGCGAATAATGATCTATTGGGAGAATACATTGTTCCAGCTCAAATCAGGTAAAATGGCCATGACATGATGTTCTATCAGGTCCATGTGGTGATCAAGATCAGGGTAGCGACTAAAGATGTCACTCAAAGGTTCATATCTGATGGAGATACGTTTCATCAAACAAATTACACGTTGCATTATCCTCATGTCCCTTGAAGAAAATTTGAATTTAAAATTTAATTGTTTGAGTACTTGAATCAGGTCCTCAACATGACTGCCAATAGGGTACGGACCTACGATGAATGGTTGCAAAGAACCTTCCCAATTACTCAATGCGGGGAGAAGTCATTCTAACCAAGAAACAAAAAGGCTCGATAAACAATTATGAGACATGTATGATTTATTTATTGATAAAGGGTCGGCAGTTGGTTGGTCAACTGGTGGTTGCTCAAAAGAAGTCGGCAATATTGGTCGGGAGCCCACAATGTCTTAAGCAGCACAATTGGTATCTCAGGGCGCATTGACTGTGAGGAAGTTTGCCTCTTGGTCGGTTCCTCAGTCTGACCAATCATTAACAGTTCCTCATGGGGTTGATACTTGCCTCTTGCGCAGGGCCCGTGTTGGGACGGCTAAAAGAAATTGGAATCATTCGGTCGGATACAAGAGCAAGTGGGACGGCTAGAAGAAGTTGGAATCATTTGGTCGTATGCAGCAGCCAGAGACCATATGACCGACCACCACTCACGAAAGAGTTCAATAGTCCGAGACTCCCAACCGTCATTGCTGGGGCTGATCACGGGTGACGTTTGGGGGTCAGATGATGGGGAGACAAGTTGTTGAACACAAAAAATAAAACTAGGGTTGGAGTCTAGGAAGGGTGAATTGATAGGCCAAGTGGTGGTCCAGTGGTGGGCCAGACCCATTCGGATGAGATGATTTTTGGACCCAACCGATCAGACAGTTGGTCCTTCAAACAATATATTCGTTTGAGTAAGGGCCTTGGGATGGTTGGTTATAAAGGTAACCAACGAGGAAGTGGTTTCGGACAGTTTAGATCGGTAACCGACGCGGAAGCGAATCTTGGACTGTTCAGATTGGCAACCGACATAAAAGTAGTTTTTGGACGGTTTAAAGGTGACCGACGTGAAAGCAGTCTTTTGACGGTTCAAAGGTAACCGACATAGAAGCGGTTTTTTACGATTACTGACGTCGAAGCAATATTTTTACGGTTCAAAGGTAATCGACGTCGGATTACGGTTACCAACGTGAAAACAGTTTTTTTACGATTACCGACATGGACACGATTTTTTGGGCGGTTCAAGGGTAACCGACATGGAAGTGGTTCTGGACTATTTGATTTGATACGTATATAAGCAACCTCACCAATAGAGAGCAGACATCTTCAATCAGATAAAATTTCAAGAGAATCTCATTTGGATCATATTTTAGCTTTCTAGGTCTGCCTAGGGATTTGTGATCTCATACACTCTTTGTTCAAGTTTGAAATATATTTTTGAATTTTACATTTTATTGTTGAACTTTTACAATCAACAACAACAACAACAATAATAATAATAATACTCCATCCGTCTCATAACTATGTATCCGTTTGTTTTTTGCACGGAGTTTTAGAAATATTAGTATTATATTGAAATGTAGTAAAAATAAAATAGAAATGACTAAAATAACTTATTAATATTGTGTGATATAAATGTAATAGCATTTGTGTAATATATTGTAAGTTGTAAGGGTATTTGTAATGTTAGGTAGATAGTACAATTACTAAAAAAACAAATAGATACTTTGTTAGGGGAACTAAAATGAAAAAATGGATAATTTGTTATGGGACGGAGAGAGTAATAATAATAATAAAATACTTTAATATAATATAATATAATATAATATAAAAATAATTAATTATATATTATATTTTTAAAAAATAAAAAATATAATTATATTATTATTTTTAATTTATATATTATACTTCAATTAAATTTTTTAAATTATAATTGAGATATCAAATTTAAATAAAATATATAAATTTTATATTATTCTAAAATTATTAAATATAATTAACAAAATTTGAAAATAAATTATAAAATAAAAATAATTTAACATTAGATTGTAATTTTATTTTTAATTTACATATTATTCCGAAATTAAAATTTTAAAATATAAATAACTAAATTTTAAAAAAGTATTTTTTATACTTTAATTTAAAATTTTTAAATGTAATTAATAAAATTTAAAATTAAATTATAAAATTTTTATAAAAAAAAATATTATTTTTTTTTAAAAACTTTATTTTTATGATAATTCATCCAAAAAAAATAAAAATCGAACTGATTCTATATTTTACTTATATTTATTTTTTAAATCAATCTAATTTTTTACTTATATTCATTTTTTAAATCAATCTAATCGGTATTCGAAAATAAAAGATGACATAACTGTGCTAGCTAGATGGAAGGAGTAGTATTTGAGTAATGTGGCTGATCTGATCCGATGTTATGTGAACCTGTAATGGCAGACACTCCCTTCCAAGTTCCAAATGCTATCACAAAAATCAATCTTGAAATTAAATCATTATCAGTGGCGGCATGACTTTACATGCTTGGTTGGGTTTGGATTGGATTGGTTTCTCTATTAGCAGCAGCTACCAACAACTGAGGCAGATAGATAGATAGATAGATAGATAGATATTAACTTACTACTGTATTCTATTCGCCCTTAGATTAGATTAGATAAAGAAATTAATAAATATGTAAAATGTGCCTCAAATGCACAATATCATCACTTCATATATACCTTTATTATGCTGCAAGTTCAAACTGAGTAAACAATTTAAGCAACCATTGAGGAGAGTCTGAAGCACTTGTTCTTCTCCTTGCTGTTGTCAATACCTTACCTTGCTTGACAACAAACATTCTATCAACTTAAGCTGCACATAAGACCACCAACCCAAACAATCAAACAATTGGATAATCAAGTTCCAGAAGAGATGCATCATACAACACAAAGGAAACTATTCCAAAACGTCGGGCATGCATCAGAGTAGAGTCTCATACCATAAGATTATTCATTTCTTCATTATGAACTGAACTGGGCATACAACATCATACCAGAAAGCAGTAATCAAGACTCAACCACATATTTGATAGTAAAGAAATCAATGTAGGTAGGTAAGGTAGTCCAAAGCTCACAATTTTGAAACCTGCATATTCCCAATGACAGCCTTATCATCATCATCATCATCATCCACAATTTGGCCGGAATCCTCGACCGTCTCGTCTGTCCGGAGCGTAGCCAGCACACCCTCAAACATAACCCTACGACACCCAGCATACACTTCGCCACTCCACTGGCGCCGCACCAATTCCATCCCCAGCGCCACCGCCGCCTCCAGGGTTCCTCCGGCTGTGGCGTGGGAAGAGTCCACAATCCCCATTTCCACACCCCTGTCCGCCGTGATTTTCTCCGCCTTCAAGATTACATCCCTCCAAACCCTAGGAGAGGCAATCTTGTTCTTCACGATCGCCGTGAACCAGGCCGAGATCTTAAATTTAATGTCGACCTCGCTCATGTATAGAAACCCTCGCTCCTTCCGCATCAGCAGGTAGTCGTGGCAGAGGGCCAGGATGAACCCAGCGGCGGAGGCGTGGCCCGTGACGGCGGCGATTGTGGGCATCGGCAGGGAAATGAGTTCCTCCACGAGGAGGCGGAGTTTCCTCGACATCAACCTCGCCCGGTCCAGCCGCCGGGTCGGGTCCTGGTGGGAGAAGGCCCAATCGAGGTCGTAGCCATTGGAGAAGAACTTCCCCTGGGCGGTGGTGATGAGGGCGGCGGGGCGCGTCTCCAACTTGGCCCGCCTCAGCGCAGCTCGGATGGAGTCGATCCTGGTGGGGTTCAATCGATGCTCATCGTCGCCTGTGATGGTCAGGATGAAGACATCGCCGCGCCTATCCAAACTGCACATCGCTGCCTCCCCTTGCTTTGCCTTTCCTCACTGATGATGAAAACTAATAAATTATTTTGCTGCATCTGCATCTCCATCTACACTCCAACAAGCAACGTTTTATTTTGAAGATCGAGGGCACCTACACTAGTCTAGAGAGTAGCACATTTAGGACTGCTCATTGGCCCTTAGGTGCGTTTAAATTAATTAAAGAAAATAATACTTACTTAGGCATATGAAAATTCAATTCAATTCAATTGTAACTACTTCGTTCCTTGTCGAGGCCCAATAAAATTTCAGTCAATGCCTAATGTAATTATGATACAGTTATTTATCTGAAAACTTACGCTACTTGCATTTATTTATGTATTGATTGCCTTGCCAGGGTGGCATGCACTTGTCCATTTATGTTTCTTGCATCTGATTTCGCATTTATGATTAGAAAATGCGAATCTGCATCAATCTTAATATGATGCTATCAGACTAAGTGGACAGCCATCGAATCCTTGTGCCTAATTTCCACAAGAGAGAATAAAGATAAGAATCTATTTTTAAAGACAAACAAAACAAAAATTATATCAAAATTATTAACTTTTATTCAATAACTTTTCTATTCTAATTTATTTATTATTATATTATAAACTATTTTCTAAAAGATATTATATTAAAATATTATTTAAATATTTTATATAATATTTTAATTTTTTCTGATTTAATTTTTATATTTATTTTGAATATGATATTATATATAAAAAAAAATATTACTAAGTTTTTTCTTTTAAAAAAATTATATCTAAATTTAAATTTTATTCAAGTTATATATAAAGGTTTGTTGTTGTTGTTCATGACCCCAAAAAAATTGTGTTTGTCCTTAATTCTTTAAGAGCTTTGTAAAAGCTTTCATCTTTCTTGTGGTATTGGATATAAAGCGGCGTAAGAAATTGATTTTTCCCAACAGAGATTGCATTTCCTTTACATTTTTTGGTGGTTCGGTTTCAACAGACCGTTTTAGCTTTGATTTTATCCACTTCGATGCCGCATTCATGAACTAGGACATTAAGGAAGTTTCCTGCAAATAAACCAAATGCACATTTAGCTGAATTTATTTTAATTTTATGATGTCGCATCCTAATAAAAGATTATTCCAAATAGGCTAAGTGAGAATATAATGTGGATGATTTAACTATAATGTCATCTATATAAAATTCAATTCGATATCATGTCCAATGAGATCATAAAATATTATGTTCATGGCACGTTTGTATGTGGCACCTGCGTTCTTGAGTTCGAACGGCATGACAATCTATTCGTATATGCCTAGAGCACCTGGGCATCTAAATGCAGTTTTGGATATATCTTCCTTAGCTATAAAGATTTGATTATAACCAGAATAACCATCCATTATGGATAAAAACTTATGCTTTGTTGCCGCATCAATCAACATGTCAGCAATGGCTATTACATATTCATCTTTTGGAGTTTTCAAGTTCAGGTTCCTAAGATCTATAAAAATACTGAGTTAGCCATTCTTTTTTGTTACAAGTACAATATTTGATAACCATTCAGGTTATCTACAAGTTCTTATAAAATTGGCCACCAAGAGCTTTTCGATCTTGACTTTGAGCTTGGGCGTCAATGCTGGACAAAAACCCCTCGGCGGTTGTTTGTAAGAGCGGAAACCATCCTTGATCAGGAGCTTGTGTTCCACCAACTCTCTTGCCAGTCTGGCATCTCTTCATAAGACCATGCTAAACAATCAGAATATTTCCGTATTAATGTGGTAAGTTGTTGTTTCTAATCTGGTGTTAAAAGGTTACTTACTTTAATTAGTCGTGGTTAGGCATCCGCTCCCAGGTTTACTTCATCCAAGGGATCCTGAGCTTCTCCCGCAAGGTAATTTTTTAGATAGGTGAAGGTTCATCATCGGGCCATCGGTTGCTTGTGGCCTTGGTTTGGTGTATAGAAATCGGAGTGTTGGCTGAAAATGTGGATCCAAAAGTGTTTTCCAGCCGTTGATATAATTTCTTAATTGCTACTAATATATTAAAATTCATTTGTTGGGTTCGGCCTCATCCCCGGCTGTGTATAACATTCGAAACCCTTGGAATGTAAATTGACAAAGGTCCCATGGTTTGGTTTCCATAGATGCCATGGTTGTAACTGGCTCTATATTTTTTAGGTATAACATTGATTCGTAAATGTCAGTATTTGGGGTCCGTTTCTAACATCTCGACTTTGTCTCCGTCCCAAAGTATTGATTGTTGGTGAAGACTGGATGGAACACAATAAGCGGAGTGGATCTAACCCCTTCCAAGTAGCACAGAGTAGGTAGTTGGTGCACCCAAAACAAAAAACACTGATGACATTTTCTTTGGTCCGACATCAATCTCAGCAATCAAAAGGCCAAGGGGCTCCGTGTGTTGACCTGCAAGACTTATCATTTTAATATATGATTTTAGGATATCAGACTTAGTTTTACCCATATTCTGTAATGTAGTATATGGCATGATGTTTAATATTGCGCCTTTGTCCACAAATACTTTGTCAACCAGTCTGCCGTTAAGATGAGCTTTGACATAAAGTGGTTTTAGATGATTTGTAGAATCAGGTGGTAATGGTATAAATGTATCTGAAGATAGTCCGTGGATTCTAACATTCTCGTCATCAGCGGCTAAACATGCCCATGGCCCTTTATCTCTGCCCCATGTATCAAATTCCGGTAAATATTCATTGTAAGTTGGTATAGCGGTTATCATGGATATATCCGACATGGTGCTGGCGTCTTTAACTAAAAGGTTGTCCTGCTCAAGTTGTTCTTCCATCATTGCAATGCTGGCATCTAATTCCCGAAGATATTGTTCATTTTCAGCGGTCCAACCTTCTGGCCACATAATTTGACATCATTGCTCTTGTGTCTTGAGGTGTAATTTGGCTGAGTACGTTGATTGGGCATCTGGTCATTGTGTCGAGTGATATGCTTAACTACGAAATTGTCAACTGATGTGTGAACCTCCGATCTCGGGGTCATCTTATTAGTTTGTTGTTGGGTGAAATTTTCGGATGGAGATCTTGATTTCTTTGAAGGTGAGGCCCGGTTGTCAAAGTGTCGGGGTTCATGCTTCCTATTATCCAATACAAGGATGGTGACTCGGGTCGGTTACAGTTCTCCTTAATAACCTTCTGTGCATTAGGGGGCAGGTCATGTGGGATGTAACATGGGAGTTGTCTTTGTTGCTCTCTTCTCCGATCTATATATTGTCTCTGCCGTCGATGTATCTGAGACCGGGAAAGCTCAGGGTGTTGCAACCCAAAATCCCGTTGGGACATCCTTCCTTCCACCATGTTCCCAAGTTCCAGTGAAATTGGTCTTTGAAAATGGGATATGTGATTGTGGTTGATACGCTTCCATGTCTTTCATATAGTCGACATTGTATATTTTCTCGTGAGTATACACTTCTGCTACCGGTTTGGTAAAAGTACGACATTGTCCTTTAATCATCTGGGAAGGCGGCGTACGATCTTTGTCCCGTTGTGGCAAATTTTCAAATTGTGAATGTGTGGCCTGGGGTTGTACAATAGCCTAGAGATGATCATGGGCAAGATATTTCTGTCGGATGCTAGATAAATTATCCTGGCAGTACCTGAGTATTTTTCTTCTGTGTATCAGACATAAATTTTTTCCTGCGGCTTGGCATTGATACTGAAATATTGACCTTCTCGACTTTTGGGTTAACCTTTATTAAGTCTAGAAGGAGGCCGTCCTTGGGGCGGTCTATCGCTCAAATAGGGTACTTCATTTGTGAGGAAGGTTGTACTGTGATTATTGTAATTTGAACTTTCGGAGAAGGTTCTTCATCCACATTCATTCTGGTCAATTTGAGACGTCCATTCTACATGGACTTTTGTATGGTCGTTCTAAATTGAGGCAGTTTATGGTGGAATATCAAAATGAATTATGTCATTTCCAGCTCTTTTTAACTTCCTAGAGCGAAGCCACTTTTTGACCCTTAGTGATGCGGATATGAACGCCTCTTAGTAGTTCATCAAAAACAACATCAAATTGTGTAATATCAAACAAGCAGTCTTCATTTTGAAGTTTTGGTATGTCTTTTCCTTTTGGAGGCTTGAGATTAGAGTAAGTATACGGTTTGCCCAGCATAAGTTCTATTATTGTTTCCTCGATAATATCCAGGAGTTCATACCCTTTAACCGCATCCTCTATTTCGATTAACGCGACTTGATGTCTGGCTCGTTTTCCTCTATTATCCTTTTCATAGAAAAGACATTCCAAGCGAGCAACCTTGGATGTTAATTGTGCGAGATTTTGAATTTTGTGAGCCTTGAGCAGATTTCGCAGACGCGGAAATATATTCCTGATCTCAATATTAGTGAGTCAGATTTTGATGTCTGGCTCATTTTCCTCTATATATCACTGATGATTACTGGACACTGACCGTTAGTTCGTCTGATTTATTTTTTTTTTCATAAAGGCGGGGGCTGGTTCCTCTAATTCTTGTTCCGTCTCTATTAAACCTGTATGTGTGGTCTCCGATATTTGACTGTAAAACCTATCATGGAAATCTCTTTCCATCTGAGTCCAATTTTGTATTGAGTTAGTGCAAAGGGATGAGTACTAAGTAAAAGTTGTCCTTGTCAGAGTCAGAGAGAATAATTGCAACTTGTAGAATTCGTTAAGAGACCCAATAAGTATTGTGAATCTGGCCACATGTTCGACATATGACTGGCTATCTTCTTCGGAGAACATAAGAGACTCCAAAATTCTAACTTGTCGAGGCAATGGATGATTGCATTCTACCCATTCTGGAAAAGGTATCTAATATACAAATTTGTACGACCCTTGACATTTAGCACCAAGTTGTTGGCATACGATGTCTTGTACCAATTGCACAACATCAGGGTGTTCTTGTACGGTTGTACCGCAGGTTGAGAATTCCACTGTGGTATCTCCAGAGTGGCATTAGGTCTCTAAGCCGCTAGTGCCTACGGTTGATAAACGTAAGCTATGACTCTAGAGATATTGTTGTATGGCATGATGATCTGCTGTTGATGAGTGTTTTGGGGATATGGTTCACCATTGTGTATAGGTTCTGGAGGTGTACCATAAGTTTGGGCGGTGTTGGCATCCATAAAAAATGGCACTGGAAATTGCAGCCAATGTTGGCCGTGATTCCCAAA